CCTTTTGAGCTCCTCCTCCAAGCCCTACATGCTTTGCAGGTGTGGTAGGGTAGGGTTGCCAGGGCCAGAGTTAGTTCTTAATTCCTCCTTACTGGTACAGGATTTGAATACCCCATCACAGGTGCTTATCACTATAGTATCTGAGTGCTTCAGAATTACTGTTTACAATACCTCTGTGAAGTGAGGGTATGGTATTATCCCCATTTTACAGATCGGAAACTGAGAAATTAAGGTCAGAAGTATCCGTTAATTTTGGCTGCCCAATTTGAGACAGCTAGAACCTGTCTAGCTGAAAAACTGAAATTTTTCAGCGCACTTAGCATTATATACCACTTTATATGTCCAGAGCAGAACTCACATTGACTTCAGCTGCAGTTTTGTGTGATTCAGCACTTCTGTAAATCAGACCCCAGGATCTTAAGTTAGACACCAGTAAATGAGGAACACAATCAGTAACCACATATGAAAAGTTTGGTTTAAATGACTTTCTTAGCATCATATAGAAGCTCTGTGCCAGAGGCAGGCATAGAATCCAGTTCCCCAGAACAGCGTTCATCTGCCTTAACCACGAGGCCATCCATTTTCTTTCTGTAATTCTCTGCCTCGTTCATTACACAACTTTCAGGGCACACATCCACATGGGGTGCGTCAGGTTACAGCCCCTCTTCCGACTCCTCCAAAACCACTTACTAAGATTCTGGCTGTGCTTCTCTCTTCACCTCTTGATTTTTGCACACCCCATCTGTGGCCCCACAAAATTGCAGGACCACTTTGTCAACCTCCTGGTGTTGGCCAAGATGGCCACCCATTATACCAGGAGGAGGAAGCTGGATATGGGGGATGCTCTTTGACTGTGGGGCCTGTTTCCATTCCCTTCTTCAATCATGCCTCTGAGTAGAGTCCATCATTGACTCCCTGGACTCCTTTGAGGAAAAGTGGGTGCTGTCAGGGGTTCTCTGCTCGGTATCCCCCTCTGGATCTCTGATTTTTTTTTAACCTTTGGAAAAACAGGAGTGGAAGTGAGGTCATTTGTTGTCCCCAGAAATCAACCGTGGCCTAGGCTTAGTGGTTCATCCTCCTTAACTGAGGGGGCAGGCCTTTAATTATGAGTGGGCCTAAACCTTTATGCGCCAATTCTACAAATAGTACTTCAGCTTCTGCAACAAATGAGGCAGGGTCCTGTGGGAAAAATGGTAAGTGAACATGGAACTAAAGATTGTATCATAGTGCAGTCATAAGGGGGGGCAAATTTAGGTTTCACAGACAACATTAATTCTGGCACTTCCTAACTTTTGGGTGCTTAACTTAGGAACCTTAATAATGTTCTTTTAATGTATTTTTTGTGTAATTTCCTATGTTTTTAAAAAGAAAATTGAAAAATCAGAAATTCCATCATTTGCTATTATATTGAAACCCACATAGTTCATCAGTGGGGTTGGAACCATTAGGTTCTCCACACAGACCTCTGCCGCTGGAGCTAACAGAGTAAATGACGATAAAAGTAAGGGGTCCACCTGGAATGCTGTCCTCATAGAGGATGACAGACACACTTTGCCTGTGGGTTTGACATATATTCGCTGAGAGCGGAGGAATGGTGAGACTCAGAAAACTTGCATTCTTCACCAGGTTCTGGAGGAGAGTGTTCTGTAGTGGTCGCAGATCCTTCTGCCTGTCTCTTCCCCATCCCTGGCTCCTTGTCCCAGCCCCATTCTTCTTCCCTACATAGTCTCAGTCTCCATTCCTCAACCTTCTCATCTCAGTCTCTGTGCCTAGCCAGTCTTAGTCTTCCACTCCAAATTGCCTGTTTGAGTCCTAATTCCACCTCCTCCATTCCTAGTTTCTCTTGTTTCCACCCCAGCCCAACATCTTGTCCTCTGTCTCCTGGCCCAGCCAGTTCCACCTAGCTCCTTGTTTGATCTGTCTAATCTGTTACCAGTTCCCAGTCTCTCACTCTAGGTTCTTCATTCCATCTCAGTCTCCCACCCCAGCCCTGCCTGGCTCCTTGTCCCAGTCTCCTATCTCTGTTCCTTTTCCCATTTTTTTCCCCAGCCAGTCCCCGTGCTCCCCAGCTCCTTGTCAAACGTCTCCGTTCCCCCCACTAATTTTTTATCCCAGTCTCACTCCAGCTCCTCTGCAGATCTCAGTGGTATACACTCCAGCATTCTGGGGCCCATTTTGTTCCTCAGCACCTTTCAGTCTCCTCCATCACCAGCTCCCAATCCCGGTCTCCTTGCTCAACCAGCTCTATTCTCCCATCTGGCTCCCAGTCCCACTCTCCTTGCTCAGCCAGTCCCATCTTCCCTTCCTGCTTGGACTCTCAATCCCAGTCTCCATCCTCCCACAACTTCCAGTCACAGTTTCTCTCTTCCCCTCCTCTCCAGTCCCAATCTCATTAGGCTCCCTGACCCATCCTTTCCCTCCCACTAGTCCAGCTCTTGTCCCTTCTCATTCCAGTTAGGTTCCCTCCTCCATGCTATCTGGGTGTCAGCAGGGAGATCACTGAGAGCACCTCAGATACCGGCTACATTTCCTAACCCTGCAGCAGCCAGGGGTGGCAATTACAGGAAAAATCTGGCTTCACCTCCATATCCTGGGGCAGGAGGAAGCATGCCCAGTCACTTTGTGGGGAAGAGTGTACAGAAAACTGAACTGATCACTCTATGAGGAACTCTCTACTGAGCTGGTGTGAACTGAGATTTTTTCAAGGGCTTGTTACATTTTAGCCAAATCTGGGTGGATGTTCACAGGAACAGCCAACGGCCAACCCTTTGCCAAATTTCAAGTCTTTGCTCCAAAGCATGAAGGCATTAGAGCTTCTTAAAGAAAAGGTCACCGTAATTTTTTTAACATAGAGAAAACCACATTGTTTTGTCAGACTTCATTCTTGGAAATGACTGATGTTAGGGGGCTTTTTCCTTCACCCACTTACTTCCCTCGTTCTTCTCGCATAAACAGAGAGCAACAATACCCGAAGTCCAAAGGTGCAAACAATTCGATGTTTATTGGGGTGAACTTCCAGCAAGCATGATTCCAGTTTCCTTCCTTAGTATCCTCCTTCCCAGCTCTGACACCACAGAACCTTACACCTGTGTCCCTGTTCCCATTCCTGCCCTTAGCCAAACATGATTCCAATTTCCCCACTCCCATTCCCTGTTCCCATTTCCCCCTTTAGCAAAACATGATTCCAATTTCCTTACTCCCATTCCCTCTTCCCATCTCCCCGACCCACACACCCACCCACTCACTCACTTCCTGATTGACTGCAGACTATATAGTAAAACTTGAGTTCTGCTTTTCTATACCTTAACCAATCATTTTCCTGAAATTTAACTAACCAATCCTAACCTATTGTAACATGATTATGTAACCAATTATATCCCACCACCTTAATTAGTTTACACCCAGCAAAATTAATTATACAGCAGACGGGAACACTCACAGAACCAGACAGAGATTATGCAGACAAACAATAGCAAAGTGGGAACTATAATGACAAAACAATACAGAAGTGAGGATTTCACATCCCAGCTATTGATAAGTGAGTTCTTGCCAGACAGATGCTATCTTGCCAGACAGATGCTATCTTGCCAGACAGGTCAAACTGGACAGTCTCTACGTAAAAGAATAAATGGACACAAATCAGATGTCAAGAATTATAACATTCATAAACCAGTCGGAGAACACTTCAATCTCTCTGGTCACGCAATCACAGACATGAAGGTCGCTATGTTAAAACAAAAAAACTTCAAATCCAGACTCCAGCGAGAAACTGCTGAATTGGAATTCATTTGCAAATTGGATACTATTAATTTAGGCTTAAATAGAGACTGGGAGTGGCTAAGTCATTATGCAAGGTAGCCTGTTTCCTCTTGTTTTTTCCTACCCCCCCCCCCCCGATGTTCTGGTTTAACTTAGATTTAAACTTGGAGAGTGGTCAGTTTAGATGAGCTATTACCAGCAGGAGAGTGAGTTTGTGTGTGTATGGGGGTGGGGGGGTGTGAGAAAACCTGGATTTATGCAGGAAATAGCCCGACTTGATTATGTAAAGAGTTGTCACTTTGGATGGGCTAGCACCAGCAGGAGAGTGAATTTGTGTGGGGGGGTGGAGGGTGAGAAAACCTGGATTTGTGCTGGAAATGGCCCACCGGATGATCACTTTAGATAAGCTATTACCAGCAGGACAGTGGGATGGGAGGAGGTATTGTTTCATATTCTCTGTGTATATATAAAGTCTGCTGCAGTTTCCACGGTATACATCTGATGAAGTGAGCTGTAGCTCAGGAAAGCTCATGCTCAAATAAATTGGTTAGTCTCTAAGGTGCCACAAGTACTCCTTTTCTTTTTGCGAATACAGACTAACACGTTACTCTGAAAGCTATCAAACTAAGTTTCCTTTTACATTTTCTAGGCACTTCCCTTTCTCTGGAGGTGATAGGCACTATCAGGACAGGATTGTATTCCTAACAGCCCAATAGCACCTTATTTCAATGTGACTAGTTTGGAATGTGAGGTTGTGACCATTCACTTCCCAGCTTATGGTTGCGTCTGTTGCTTAGCCAAAGGCCTTAATCTAAGAACAGGGCCTCAGACTGTCATAGTAAGAGGAGGACCATTCACTGGCAGACAGTGATTTTGATTCTTTCTTTTATACCTCTAACTAGCCAAGTGATAAGAATACACCTAAATTCTTCGAGTACAGGCCTTTACCGACAGGCCTGAATATCTATATCCTAACAACTGACATTCCCCCCCCCCAAATTAGCCTGAGGCAGATACCAGACATGGAAATCTTCAGCCCAAATGGTTAAAGTTTTTGTCAAAGTTGATAATCAACTGAAAACATGATCTTATAGTGGGAAGTGTCAGGCAACCTTAATAACATGCAGTGCTATGAGCTTTCCCTACAATACTGACTCTTTACATTCATTGTTTCTAATAAAACTACAGAAATACTGATTCACAGGTGCTTTTATCTTCATGTTTTTTCTCTGCATTTTTAGAAAGGCACCCAAGAACTCCTGAAGTATCTGAGAAGCAAAATCCAAGGTACAGGATTACTTTGCAATATATGTTGAAAGAAGAGACTTTTTTTTTTTTTTAAACTGTTGTGGCTTCAAATGCATTAGAACTTAGAACAGTGGTTTGATCGTACAGTGTGAAATGCTGATCCTCTATTTGAGTGTTAATTGTACTTGCAAAATAACATTACCCGGGGATTACAAATTTAAACTGCCCAAGGTAGGTGTCTGTGTAGGTGAGTCTGCCTTAAATAATCTTTTATGACATGAGGACTTATTTTAGCTAATTAAGAACATAAACGGTATTTTTGGATTGCCTGAAACGAGAAGGGAAAAAATAGATTATGATAAATGTTGTTCAAATCCATCTGAACTGGCTTCTCCCCATTTAGTAGTTTATTTCCATTAACAATGTTGTGGCTAACATAAAAATCTTAAACTAGTGAATTAGATTGAATGTTTCAGGAGAGTTATTTCTCTGGAAGCCAGTTTGATATTTTAGTGGGGTACTTTCCCCTTATCTTGAATAGAGAAAACTGATTTGATCTTGGAAGATATAGATGCTACATTTGAATATAGCCTCTACTACTCTGGATAGGAGAGTCAAAAAGCTATGTAATAGTATGAAAGAACCTGGGTAAAATTTTCAAAAGCACCTAAGTGAAAAATAAGAAAATAGATTGGGAGGATGGGAACCAAGCCCTCTCTAGCCCTAGCCCACCCCACTGCCTATGCTTGTTTCTGCTCTTTTCAAGAGAGAAAAACAATGAACCTTTCCACCCTATCCAGAATTTCTCAGGATCTTTCATTTAAATATCTCTGTTATAAAGCTAATGGAAAAAATATGGTGGTATGCCTGAAAATGAATTAAATTTTCTAGTTATTTGGTTTATATGGTAAATAGATATATATAAATAAATTACTTCATACACTTAAGAATTTAGAGAAACTTTCTCTATTTAATGTAGAAGGGGCCTTGGTAGCATATAGCCTGAGCATAGCTGTTTGAATACACATACTCAGGACCATTTTTCCTTCTAGTATAATACCTTTCACTGACTATGTATGGCTGATTTATTCCTTTTTATAATGTGTTTATCTCTTTGCACCAGAAGATGGCAGTATTAAACAATCAGTTCAGTGCCTTGTACAGGGTTTCACATGGCTTTTGAAATGTCAGGTTCTTCAATATTGTCCTGAAAAATTAAATCCTAGTACTAACTGCGTAAAGTGAGTATGGATATAAGTAGTTTATCAGACTCACTTAGTTTATATAGAGACACTAGGGTGTAGATGATAAAGTTATACTTACACTTATTGCAATATCTAAGTATGAGATCTGAGAGCTAGATAAACTGATGACTGCAGCAGTCCTGTTCCATAGAAATTTGGCTTGAAAAATAATGCATTTTGTTGTTTTTGACCCCTTTATAGTAAAAGCATGACTGGATGTGTTAATCTATATCTGCTCCCATACGTTTTTTCATAAGTGGTGCTTAAAATCTGTATAGTTTCCTTTTTTAGTGGAAATTAGGTTTAGAATATAGTTGTATTTTCTGACAGATTCTTACACTAACCCACGGGTACATTGAGTCTTAAAGCCTGTTGCTGCAGCTCCATACGTGCACAGTTACAGATTTGGATTCTTTAATCCTCTGGATTTACTAGAGAGATACATTCCAGACTGTTCTCTAACCACTGACACCATTTTCCTCAAGATGACAGATAACAAACAGTAGGAACTCTAGAGAGAGGGGTACTACATGTGTGCTTATACGAGTGTTAACATTTATTAAACGCTGGTTTTTTGGGGGTTTTTTTGGTTTTTTTTACATGTATGGTTATGTTTTCTCTAGACGATACAACTAGCCTGAATGAGGGGTCTCCTGTGACAGCCATGACTCTTCCAAGTGAGTCAAGGATTAACATTCATGCCATAACTGCATTAAAAGTATTAGAATATAGGTATGTGTTTCACAAGGCTATCTATTTCTAGAACTGTAAGAATACTTTCTTGTTTTACATTTCCTTTGTTTTCAGACTCTCAGTGCTTGAGCTGGTCAAAATATTTTTGACGAAACTTTTTTCTGTCAAAAAACATTGTTTTGTCAAAACTGAAACATTTTGTGGAAATGTATCAGTTCGGAAAAAAAACTCATCAAGAAGATTTCTTAGGTCAAGACAGCCAGAGTCCCAGGCACTCATTCAGAACTGCCCAGTGATTAGGACACACACCTAGGAAGTGTGGGTATGTCTACACTGCAATTAGACACCCATGGTTGGCCCATGTTAGCTGACAGGCTCGTGGTGCTCAGGCTGCAGGGCTGTTTAATTGCGGTGTAGACGTTTTTGGCTTGGGCTGCAGCCTGAGCTCTGGGACTCTCCCACCTTGCAGGTCCTAGAGCCCAGTCTCCATCCAGAGCCTGGGACATCTACACTTCAGTTAAATAGCCCTTTAGCCCAAGTCTTGTGAGCCTGAGTCAGCTGTCGCAGGCAGCCATGGGTTTTTAATTGCAGTGTAGACATACCCTGGGAGACCAAAGTTCAAGTCCCTGCTCCAAACCAGGCAGGACTTGAGCCTCGATCACTCACATCCCAGGTAAGGGCCCTGGCCACCACTCTATTGTCTATTTTGGTGTGTGTGTCTCTCTCTGTCTCTCACACAGGTTTTTTTGTGAAAAATTCAGGTTTCATTTTCGTTCCAGCTGGGAATGAAAATAAATTCCAAAACCTCTAACATTTTTGCAAGGCAGAATTCTTGTTTTCTGGTCAGCCCTATATGGTGTGCCAGCCCTATATGGCGCATCCCAGACATGCGGAGATCCTAAACTCTTGCACATCCTGGTATTGCTTCTGTATCTTTTTATTTTGCGTGCCCTGTAACCAGCATGGTAGAGTTTCTTTAAAGCTCACTGAAATGTTAATGCATCAGACACTTTTAGCACCTGTTATCAGATCTCAAGTGTTTTAGAAACATGAAGAAATTACCCTCCCAAAACCCCTTTGTGGTTTGTAAGGAATCTCTTCAACTACTTTTGGAAATGGAAGCAATGCTTCACAGGTTAGGCGAAGAAGTGGAAAAAATACCGCATCCATTGGAAACTGCAGGTGTGTGCACAATGTAATTATTGGAGCTGGAATAGGACCAGAACAATAGGGTTTATGCCCTTTTTCTAATGAAAAGTGCCATGGGATCTTTAATTACCACAAATGTTCAGAAATTCAGCTTTATTTCTCATCTGAAAGATAACAACTCTAGCATCAGGGACCCTGTGGCACTATACTGGGGCATTGGTTGTGAGGTAAGAGTGACACCTGGGTAGTCCCAGCATCTTTTCCTCCAGCACTTACATGTTTGAGGTATTGATCTGGCCTAAGACTGCTTATCTTTTAAGGTCTGACAACAGGTCAGGATCACAGCATGAGGTGATAAAATTGCCTATGCATGAGGTACCATGGCACCATGTTCTGATAGCCTTCGGGTTAAGCGGAATTCAAAAACATCCACATTTCAGTACATTTTTCTGTTGATTATCTTCTAAAAGAGGAAGAATGTCCGGTTAATGAAGAGAGAATAATTGACATGTTCATGTTACTCTGCTAAATAAGATGCTTTTTGTTTAGTGAGAAACGAGCAGCTGTGATTCCTGATGAAATATTTAATGCAGTCGGAAGCAATTCTGTCACTACTGTAAACTTCAGCAAGAATCAGCTGAATGAAATTCCAAAAAGGTACAGTTGCTCCTTGGTAGATGTCATTCCATATCCTAATAATTCTTTTCTCTCTTTGTCCCTCTGCAATGTATTAAAATGTTGTGTTTTTAACCTTGTTGCCAAGAATATTTACTCCATATCTTAATTTCTACTTCAAGATGTATTTTATGTTATGATGCTATGAATAAGGGAATTGCACCTTTTCTTAAAAAGGACTTTGCTTATTCCGAGTAGCGTGCAGGTATTTGACCTAGATGCTAATTGTAGGTGAAAGAAGCATAGCTAGGAGAAGATATGGCTGAGTAATACTTTCATTACCCACATGCGTGTGTGTGTGTTTTTATTTTTTTGCTTTGCTAAGTGTTGTTGAAACAAATGAGGGGATACTTCAGTGACACTTCACATAATAAAAATACAGTACAGCCAGTTGACCAGTTTGTTGAATCTGTAGGATTGTTCATTGTTATCACCACAAAGTGGTTCACCTTTTCCTATCCAAAGAAATAATTTGTGTGGATCCAGTGCTTTGAGAGCTGACAGCTGTGTGCTATAGATGAGGTCCAACTTAAAATGCAACTTTTGCAGGTACTTCAGTTTAGTGTTTCCTGCAAGCATAAATAATTTCAACATTTCCCCCCTTCAGTGATAGTCTGGCAGACTCTCCAAGCATGAAACCGCTAGTACTGTAGCACTAGATATTATTGGGCTTCATTCTACCTCAATGGAAGTCCATGCAAAGCATTGCAATAACTTTAGTGGGAGCAACACAGTCTTTTATTTGTAAAGCACTTAAGAGTGTGCTGTACTAGATAAAAAGGAAGATATGATCTCTGCCCCAAGGAGATGACAGACTAAACAGACGACATAAGAATGCGCTTAATTCTAATTTATTTAATAGCACAGTGATATCTTTTTTACAACATGAGTTACTGCTTGTGGGCCTCAAGAAAGAAGTGAGTTTTCAGGAGGGATTTGAATTAAGATATTCTAACCTGATGCTGAACAGGGGAGCTGAGAGCTACTGAAATTGGCTCCCCTATCTGGCACAATATCCTTGTGGCTCAAGCTAGGAGCCACAGATCAGAACTGCCAAGCTATCATCCATGCAGTGAGGCAGAGATGAACAGTCAGGAAGAGAGCCCACCCAAGGGAAGGAGGAGCCACAATCCTGATTAGGGCTACAGTAAAATAAAAAATATTATCTGGTAAGAAGAACACCTATCCTTGCATTCTGACCAACAGAGTATATAAGCTGCAGTACCTAGACACCCAAAAATGTGAACGAAATAACATTCGCTCTTGGTTCTATATGTTAGCTAGTTTCTTGCTGTTATACGGTATTTTGCATACATACCACAGTTTTGATCTTGCAGTCCTTATTCAAACAAAAATTATCTTAAATGGGAATCTCACTTGAGTAGAAGCTGTTGAATTGAGCGCTGCATGAATGCTTATAAACTCTTCTGGGAAGGGACCATCTATTCATATGTTTGTACAGCCCTAGCACAATAAGGCTGTGATCCTAACTGGGGTCTCGAAGCAACACTGTAATATAAATATATAATAATCATATATGCCTGCATGTCTGTACATAGACCTGTTATTTATTTGTATTGCACTAGTGCCCAGGAGCCGCCATAATGGACTAGGACTCCATTGTACTAGGCTCTGAACAAAAACAAATACAACTGATAGGGACAGTCATTTTGTTCTATTTCCTAAACGAAACTCTCTCTTCAATGCAAGTGTATTCCTAGAATTCTGTAGAAAAATCAGTTCATTAAACTAGTGTTTGTGTCTGTGTGTGAACAGCCCCATTTGTTTAGTCACTGTATTAAAGATAGCGGGAGGAAGGTGCAGGTGAACCATGTATGTGAATAGCTGCTTGACAGGAAGGAATTTCAGGAGAAATCACAATTTGGAGAGATGAATACTCTGCATGTTAATTACCTTCCTTATTGGTTAAAGTAAGGCCTTAATCTGTGGGATTTCAATTAACTTCATGAACTTCCAAATAGTTCACATCAGTGTCCAAAATTATCTCAGCACACTGCTTACAAGAGGAACAAATACAATGTTCTCTGTAATTCACAATAATGATTCAATGAAACAGAAATGAAAGACTGGAATTTAATTTCAACATTGAAACAAGCTATTGCATTTCATTGTGGCTAATAAGAAGAGTGACTCTTCGGTGCCTTTTTAGTAAAACAGCATTTACAGTGTGGAAGTTAACCATGAAAGTCCAGTCTGTTTTTGCCACAGCTTTCTGAAATATTTTGTTTCCTGACTGCACTTTAATAGTAAACCCTGACATTTGGATGAGTGAGGGCAACCTTAGAAAGTTAACTGTGGGCTTTTGTCTTGGCGTTAAAATATAAGCCTCAAGGACAGTCCACTTGCATAAGTGCATCTCCCATTATTTTCCTCCTGCCAACACTGCCACTGAAATCCCAAAGAGCACAGAAAATACCTGATGTATCAATGAAAGTTCCATAAAAAGAAAGTTGATTTTTATAAATTACACACACAATAAAAAGGGAGGTTTCAGAGTAGCAGCCATGTTAGTCTGTATTCGCAAAAAGAAAAGGAGTACTTGTGGCACCTTAAACCCTAACAAATTTATTTGAGCATAAGCTTTCGTGAGCTACATGCTCAAATAAATGTGTTAGTCTCTAAGGTGCCACAAGTACTCCTTTTCTTTTTAATAAAAAGGGAGATGTTTTACTCAAGTAAGAAACTTTATTTGTAATGGGTTGCAGGATTGTGGAGCTGAAAGAATCAGTCTGTGATGTCAATCTTGGCTTCAATAAGCTCTCCTCCATTTCCCTGGAGCTCTGTGTACTTCATAAATTGACACACTTGGATATCAGGTTTGTGATGTTTTGCTGGACTTCCTTTTAGAGTAATTTCTTTTCATACCTTTTTAAACCATCTCTTGGTACAGTATTGCAGTACTGCAATAATCTTTAATTTTCCTAATTGTTTCTTTGATGGTTGAACAGTTGGCAAGCTTGGAGTTGGATGGTGATCAGGTAGCCTAAACCTAATCATTGAAAATTGATCAAGTGGGTAAGCTCTAAGTAAATAAGACATGATCTGTCTGAAATGCTCTGCATCAGGGATGTAAAGGCTCTCATGAAGTTTAAGTGACTCTGAGAAAAGAGCCTTAAGGGCAGTTGTGACAGCAGTACCAAACAGTTATTCTCTCTGAGCATTACTCCTGGGACAATTCTGCGGCACTGCGTACTCGCAGAAAACACTCCTCTTGCAGAATTCCTGTGCTTCCCTGCAGAAAACAGCAGGGAAGCAAAGGGAAGCCATGTGGGGGTACGACCATGGGTGCAGTTTTTTGAGGGGGGGATTGCCCCCCCAGCAGAGGCGAGGCGTGGGGGAACACACAGGGTTACATGCCACTGGCTCCCCCTCCCCCCATTTCTACAAGCGCAGAGCTGCCCAGCTGAAGGAGGCTGTGTGGGCTCCTCTGACTCTGCAGCTGATCGCTGCCTCCTGGGTTCTAGTGCCAGTCAAGCTCTTCCTTGCTAGGAGCCTTCCTCTTTTCTCTGCAACGGTGAGTCCCCGTGGTGGGGTGGGGAAAATGAGGGAAGGGGGTGAGAGGGTGTGGGTAAGAGGCAGTGGGGAAGGAAGGGCGGGGTGGAATAGGACAGGGGGAGGGGAATGTGGGAGTGAGGCATAGGTGCTGGAACTAGCAGTGCGGGGGTGCTGCCGCATCCCCTGGCTTGAAGTGGTTTCCATTATATACAGGCTTTACAGCTTGGTTCAATGGCTTTCAGCACCCCTGGCGTGAGGGGAGGAGGATGAGGCATGGGGTAGTGGGGGAGGGAGATGAGATGGGGAAGAAAAGGTGATAGGGAAATCACGGGGGGAAGTGGGAGCCCAGCATGCAGAGTCCCCTGAGCAGCAGCTGGGGCTCCCCCATTAAGCAGGCCCATCGAACCCTCACCCTGACAAGCCCCACCCCCCTACCCCTGGATCCCTCCTGACAAGCTCCACCTCCCAGACATCCACCCTACTGAGCCTCAACCAGCTACACCTTGACCCCCATCCCATCAACCCCACTCCTCCAGCATTCAGATCCTCCTCTCAGCTCCCCACAGCAACACCCCGACCCCCCCCCCCCCCGCTGAGCCCCAACCACCTTCACCTGGATCCCTTGCAGACTCCCATTGCCCCTGCACCTGGAACCCCTCCTCCCAACAAGCCCCTTTGCAGTCATATCTACCACTGAACCGCCCGCATCCAGATTTCCCCCACTGAAACTTCTCACCCCACACCTGGATCCCCCCATGATAAGCCCGTCCACCCTTGGATTCTGCTGGGCTGAGCCTGCCCATTCACACCTGGTGCACCTGGCACAGAAGGGGCTGGGCTCCAGGATGTTTCTGGGGCAGGCCCGACCCTTGCACTGTGTCAGGGTTGGGTGCAGCCTCACTGCCAAGTCTCTGTACCGGGGAGGTGGGAGCTTCAGGATGATCTCCCACCTCAATGCAGCCAGTGGCCTGTGCTCCGCACTGCCATGCTGGAGCCACATTTATTTATTGACAAGTAAAATTTGCAGAATTTTAAAATATTCTGGGCAAAATTTTTATTTTTTTGGTGCAGAATTCCCTCAGGACTAGAGATTAATAAGCTTGGAGTGTGTCCTGGGGCAACTATATTTGTAGTGGCTTCAGTAACTTCCAGTAGGCTCCTTATTGTTATTCAGATGGATACATTTAATCTCCATAACTTCTCAGGGTGTTCATTCAAGGTGGTAGAATTGTCATTGGCACTTATTACCAGGGTATAGGGCAAAGTGAAAAGTAGCCAGACACAGCAGCTTGCATTGGCTTAGTTAAATTAAAACAAGTTGGCTTAAATGTATGTGCTGCTGAAGAGGGAGGAAGAGTTAGACTGCAAGTTGCAAGGATGGGTAAGACCATGTGAGGTGGCTGATGGTGAGGGAACCAGGCTGAGTGCCCCAGGAAGGGAGTGAGGGCAGATTGGTTACTCTAAGACTGTGCAACATTTAATGGCCCTCAGTGATTGGTCCCCCTTACTTGAGTACTATATATGAAATGGCCCATTTTTTTCTCCTCAACCCCCCCTTTCTCTTCTCATTTAAGAAGCTCCTGAAAACCTTTTAAGAAAGAGGGTGGATTTGGGCAATGTCATTGTATGTATGTTCTATGTTAGAGGTGGGGTGGGGGATGCCAGCTCTTTGCACACTTTGACTGAAATGTTCTGAACTGTAACTACATGTGGTTTTAGTCCATAAGTTCCTTGGGGGGTTCTTTATAGGTCACACTGACCATTGTACAGTGCTGGGTACACCTTACGGTACTATATAAATGCTATATTGAAATTATGGCGGTGACCTGATTACAATCAAATGCTAAAGAAAGAAAGAAATTTCAATGCCCATCTGTACTGACTGTGGTTTTGGCATACCCACGAGGCAGTTGACTGGTTTAGCATGTTGTTAGTAACATCAGCTCAAGGACAGACTAGCAAATTTTGCTTTCTGGAAAACCTTAAATTTGCTAAAGATTAGTAAATGCTGCTTTTCTTTGTTTACAATTCAGAAATAACTTTTTGACATCTTTACCTGAGGAAATGGAAGCTCTGATAAGACTGCAAATAATAAATCTTTGCTTTAATAGGTAAGTACCCTTGCAGATAGACCTGTTAACATATAATGAGAATTAGTCAAAGACCATCATGTGGTAATCCTCTTTGTGTTTTTGAAGCAATGTGCATGGGAGAATAAAAATGGCAATGCTTCTCCCTCCTCAGTACTACTGAGCCTGTTCATATTAGGGTTCTGATTCTGCCAGTGGAGAAGTTTTGTTTCCAAGTCACTAATGAAAACAATGGTGAATAATTTGAGATGTTAGTTACCTCCTTTCATTGTTTTTTTCAGTGAGAAAAACACCTTTTTCCTGCTTTCCCAGCCTCAGTAATGTTCAATGTTTAAATGTTCAAAGCATTCTGCAAATATGTTAACTAAGGAACGGGGTTGCATGTCTTATTTAAGCAAGTGCAAGTGTTCTTTTCTTCCATCTGCTGATAATTAACACAGGAATATTCTGTCACTGATGCTGGGATGGGGGCACCTGATAGGAAAAATACTCTGTACTTGTGATTTTTTTTTTTTTAAAGGGTGTCTGTGGGTATTTTTGAGGGTTTCCTGCCCAGTCACTGGCTTCATCCTGTTTCAGTGATAGACATTTCCTGTAAACTCCTGGCCCTACTGAAGTCAATGGAGGTTTTGACAATAGGGCCAGAATTTCACACTTCATATTTTACCAGCGATAAAGGTTTCCAGACCTGGGCTATCTACCAAAGCCTTTCATTTTCTTGACTCATAATGAGCTTGCATCTCCCAGTTTTAGTTAGTGGTGCCTCATGGTTTTAGGGAGAAACTACTTATCATGATTTGGAGCAGGCTTGAACATTTGGCACCATTGCCAACGAGAACTTTTCAGGGCAAACTGCTTCTTACCAAGTGTAAACACAAACTCCTGCCCAGCTTGTTGTCTGTTTGGCAGGAAACAATGTGTGAAAGTATAGATTTTGATTCCTTTCACAAACGGCATTGCTTGGTGCTGGTTAGTTTAATATAATTTTCAGCCCATTTAAAAAAGGGTCAGTTTTACAAGAAAATATAAATTGTCCCTTGTGCCTGTTCCAGGTTTTTTCATTGAAACCATATGTCAATTTGCTTGAACGTATCAAAGTCGACACTTTGCTGGATCAGGCCCTATGTGAACAGTGTGTAAGGGAACTTTCTTCAGTAGCTGATACATACCCGGTACTAGGCTGTCATTCATAGAGATGCTAGCTTTCTCTGCCTATGCTGGTGCCAATTGGGGCCAAACTTTTAAAGCAGTTTACAAAGCACAATGGGATTTATCGGCATATACTCTTTTGCATGCACTGTATGGTGCTTATTTTTCAAAGAACTTATTGCTGCAGCAAATGGCTGGTGCTTGCAGGGAGCAATATATGTCACTGGTTTCCTGAGACATAGTTGTTATTTAGTAATAATCAGAGCTAGTTTTATATTTATAATAGTGATTTAAATAGATTCTGATTCATATTTATTCTCTTTCTAATTCCCATCTCATTTGAATGCTGCAGAGAATGGCAGGCCCCTCCTGCCTTTGCTAGTGATTCCCTTCCTCCAGGAGCCACAGCAATACATGTGGCTAAACCCAGTGGCTGGCTCCATTGCTCCAATCAAGCTGTTTGTTTCCAAAAAGCTATGCTTAAAGTTTTTTAAAAAACAGTCTCTCCCAAAGCACCCCCTCCTTGTCTCTGGCCACCCTGGCTGCAGTGAGACTCTTGAAAATGTTGCCATTAAAAGAGCAGAATAAAAACTGTGAGTGGGAAGAAAGAGACCCCTCTCCCCCCCCCTAAAAAGCACCCCCATTGTGAACTCTGATTAGGTCTGTAACATCTTAGTGTTTTCCAGCAAGAAAAAAATGAATAGAATTCTGTGGAGTGGAAGTAATTTTCCTTTCACTAAGACAATCAACAGCATTCTGTTTAACACAGGATTGTTATAATTGCGTTTGTTTTTTTTTAATGACTAAGTGAAGATCCGTTTTGGTTTTAAGCAGTATTGAAGGTTCTTCCTGTATTAATATTTAAAAGGAAAACACTCTTTTTGGAACTAAATCTTGCCTGTGTCTTAATTAATGAAAACAAGCTGTGAAAATGGGGTGATTTAGTTTTTTGCCAAATCACTGGGTGCTATGCATTATGCTAGAAATACAGCTGTTAGTATTTAGCAGTACAAGTAACAAAGCTTCTACTTAATTTCTTTGTGCCATGGACCAGAAACATGGTGTCTGTAAATGCAGGGCTCTTGTTTTAATATAGAAAGTGGTCATAAGTATGGTGGGATTTGGGGTGGGTGGTTGTTGGTATCTGAATGGTGACAATTTTTCATTGGTATAAAACAAGCAGGGTTAAAGTTGGGGAATGTAATGAATATGTTTACAGGAACTGTTAGCTCAGACTGTAGGAGGAATATGTCCAGCTGACATCATTGCTGTGTTCAGTTTTACAAAATGAGTGCTGCCGTCCTTTTGTTCTCTGTCACATGAGCACTGAGCAGTCATCATGCAAATTATATTCTGCTTTTATGTTTGTCAAGTAGACTAATCAGTATTACTGCCACCCTCCCAAAAATGCACCTTTAATGAGTGATTATTATTAAACAAACTCAGTTAAATCTAGTCTTTCACCTCACTGTTATTTGTTTTAAGAAAAGGAGTACTTGTGGCACCTTAGAGACTAACCAGTTTATTTGCGCATAAGCTTTCGTGAGCTACACTGTAGCTCACGAAAGCTTATGCGCAAATAAACTGGTTAGTCTCTAAGGTGCCACAAGTACTCCTTTTCTTTTTGCAAATACAGACTAACACGGCTGTTACTCTGAAACCTGTTACCTGTTTTGTTATCCATTTTGTATGTCTGTGTTTCTGATTTGATTCCTTAAGTGAATTTATTTTCATTTTTTGGTAGGTTTAAAATATTTCCCAATGTTCTTTATCGCATCCCAACACTTGAAACTATCCTACTCAGTAACAATCAGGTTGGATCCATCGACCCTCTGCAAATAAGGAAGATGGACAAGCTTGGCACCTTAGACCTTCAGAATAATGACCTCCTTCAAGTGCCACCAGAACTTGGAAACTGCGTAAATCTTAGGTGACTTTTTTTTTAAAACTGCACAATAACTTTTGATTTTGATGACTGTTTTTTAGGCCTTTTTTTTTTTAGTTACAAGGAAAATGGTAGAGTAACCGTGTACTTGTATGTTGGTCTAAATTCATAAAATGCCTGACCTCTAGTCATCAACTGTGAAGCAGCTACAGTTTTTTCATAGTTTCTCCGACTAATTGAGACTAGAGGCAATTTTTGGTTCATGATTTTATTTATCTATTTATTAAACAGAGTAACATGAAAATTATACTTCACATTAGAGGCTAACTCACATTACATAGGGGTATCTGAATGTGGCGTTTGGCCTCGAGCATCAAACTTGGCAGTTAGTCCAACTTTAATAAACCCACAAATTTAAGAAAATTTAGAATTTAGCTGCTGGTCTGTTCTTAACTTGCCTTATCTTTACTTACTTCAGGGATTGTTCATAACAGAGACTCATGTATAATACCCCATTTATTGACATTTGTCCCATGGCTATTTGTTAAAAGACTCACAGTAAGCTGCCCAAAGAGTCTGCACCAAGACTGGTATTTAATATATTGATCAGTGATCAGGAAGGGGGGGTGTTAGTAAAGTGGCATCATTTGCAAAGGACGCAATATTTAGAGTAGACGATTGGAAAAGCCACTGAGGAATTTCATAACAAAGATAGGTGAATGGGCAGTGTGATGGCAGATGAATACAGCGGTGACATCTGTATGATAACCCATATTGGAAGGAATAATTTGAACTCCTCAACTACATTTGTAGGTTCTAAATTACTTTGAGCATTCAGGAGAAAGATCTGGGTATAATTGTATAAGCTCCATGAAAATCTCTGCTCATTGTGTTTCAGCACCCCCCCAAAAAAAATGTTAAGGTGCATAAAGAATGTGATAGAAAATAACACTGAAAAATTATATGGGCACTTTATAAATTAATTTTAGGTCCTCACCTGGCATACTCTGTTCAGTCCTGCTTGCTCAATCTCAATGTTTATACTAGAGACAAGTCGTTCAGAGATGGGGATTGCAAATTATTAGCGGCATAACAAGGCTTCCTCATTAGGAGAGAATGAAAGATTTGGGACCATTCTGGTTTAGAGAAGAGAGATTTAAAAAAAAAAAAAAGTCAAAAAATGATTGTTACAGAGAAGGTAAATTGAGAGCAAATATGTATTTTTTTTCCATAATACAAGATCGGGGGGAGGTGATTAAAGTGGAAGGTAACAAATTTACATTGATAAAAGGAAATGTATGTACACACTAGAGCTGGTCAGGAATTTTTCTACAGAACAGTTTTTGTCAGAAAATGCCAGTTAGTTGAAACCAAAGCTTTTCATGGGAAAGGATGGTTTCAATGAAACTTTCATTGGGAAGGTTTTTAGGTCCAGGGTGCAGGAAGTGAAAAAGAGAGGCCAGTGGTTAGAGCACTCATCTGGGATGGAGGGCATATGCCTGGTTGTGGGAGACCCTAGGTCTCCTCCATGCCAGGTGAGTGCTTTAACCCCCTGGTTAGATTCAGTAGATAACCATTTTGAGAATATAAGCTCTCAAGGTTCAGGGAATAATCCAACCCCTACATGAAAGGGTTGGGATAGAAACTTGCTCTAGGGGCTGGTCATTTCACCACTGTGATGTTACCGGAGTTGACAAAGACAAGAAACTAGACTAAATGGATCACTGGTCTGGCAAGTCCTGTGTTCCTTCTTGGAATTTATTAAATAAAATTTAATTTTTAAAATTAAGGTTTTGAAGTCGTACAGGGACAAATAACTTCTTCAATAACCGCTCTTCAGCCTATCACTAGCTTTACCAATTTAAACCATTTTTGTGAATGAAATGGAAATCTCAAGTGGGCAGACAGCTTGTAAACCAAGCTTCGGTTCAGCATTGTTTAAAATGGCCAAGTTATGAACCCTCACACTACTTTTCCCAACAGAAATAGCAGTTGTTCTCTTACCATAGTGGCATAAGTGGGAACCACCTGCGGCAGAACTGATGTGGCTTGAGAAGAGGTGCTGAGTCACCCAAATTTCTCAGAGTAAACAGCATACTTGTTTTTCTGACTCAGGATTTTACAAGTGACTTCGTTTTAGATTTATTGGATAATCACATTTTCAAGAACATGAATGTATGGGCTATGAGACTCTTGCAGACTTATGGAGTGTAATTTTCTAGTGAACTCTAAAACTAGCCTATGTAGCGCTGACAAATGCTGTTCATGATTAGAATTTGAATATGTTAGTTAACACAATAAAAATACATCTTTTTTCCCTATTTATACATGGCCTAAGGATCTGACTTGTTCAGACACAGATCCTAGGTGATGGGGAAGGCTTGATATATGGGAATGTGCTCTGGTGACGGGACTTAAAGGGCCAGTGACTTGTGCTTACCTGAGAGCCTGTGCATAACAACTAAGTTGGGAAAAGGCAACATTGCCATTTAGCATAGCTCAATGCTACAACCAGTTATTCACGTTGATTTTATCATTTATTTTAATAAGCTCTTTTCCCCATCCTGCCCAGTGGCTAGGGGTTTTACTGAAAAAGTGTATGTTCCCCTAAATGTACAGTATTGCAGGGCACATGTGTATATTATGCACATATAACTATCCATCACTACATATGTTGGCATACTGTTAGCACTTGAATTATGCCAATATGAAATAGAGTAGCAGAAATTCATAACATAGTATTACTATTTCATCTTTAAGCAGGATTCTTTTATTTTTCTAAAGAGCCATAAGTGTGCATAATGTATGAATGTGCTGGTACAAGCAAAAGCACTGACAGTAATCATTTTTATTTCTGTACTTCCCCAGGACACTTCTGCTAGAAGGAAATCCATTCCGTACTCCTCGAGCAGCGATTTTGGCAAAAGGAACAGCTGCTGTACTAGAATACCTAAAAAGTCGAATTCCTACTTGATCAGAGTACACTTATTCTTTTGTTAGGCTTATGGATCAAAATACAAGCAAGATTTTTACCATCAGAAACCCAAAGGCCATACACCATTTTAACTGACTTCCTTCCTGTTTGTCAACTATTGACTGCTTTTTCTGTGCATGTTTCCCCCCCCCCCCCCCCAAAAAAAAAAAAAAAAGAAAAAAGCCCATCCGTAAAATCTCACAGATTTTCTTCCAGAGTTGCACAGATCAACATTTCAATTGAAAATACTACAATGCTAATTTTCTTTATTTGTAATGTAGTGATTTCATTGGATACTACCATTAATAAAGGCAATTTTTTTTTTTTACAATTCAGTTTAAAAAATATGAATTAATTTTAAGAACACTAAAGGGGTTGCATAAAAGGTAAAAAGTAAACTTTCTGATTTTCTTAGGTTTGTATTGTCCATAGCTGTGAGACCAAATGCTTTACAGCATGTGAGCTCTTAATCAAATAGGTAAGTGTTTCACACTGTCTGTCGACTGTTAAATGCCTGAAACCTTAAATAACACAGCAATGCTATAATAATAATGGTAAGGATACAATATGAACTGTGCTACAAAGAGTGTGAAGAATGTGTTTACAAAAGTGATTGACTTCTACTTGTTTGAATAGTAATAAATAAATATTTCCTGTTGGCTGTAAACCATTACCTTTGTTTAGTTTAATGTACCAGTCAAGCTCTCTAGCTCAATAACATTTAGATATGCTTGCCATATTACATACAAATGTGTTTGTTCATCCTGGAAATGGCACCTTAAGATGCATCAACACTGGTGATAAATTTGTAGGGGGATATGTGTGTCAGATCTGAACTGCAATGTAAATGTATATACATTGCTCTTTTTTAGGCTTTTATATGCAACAAATTGTAGCCTAAATCAAAATTGATCCCATGGTGGTTTGCAATGACTTTTCTTTGAACACTTCACTTCCAAACTGTATTGAAGACTGATAGCTGCCACGTTTTTAAGGTCATATTTTCAAGGGAATTCAGTATTGTACTGGAGGTCAGATGGCTTTTAATTCTTACAGACTAAACTACAGAACATACATTAGGAATGGGTGAACATCTCTACCTACCTTGGCTTACAAAAGTAATTTTTCCAAGCCTTTTTCTTCTAATTGCAACCCATTTCCCCCGCCGCCCTGATTGAACTTAAAAGAAAATGAGATCTTATACCTAAAGAGAATCCTGTGCTAATTATTAGGAATAGAAAAGCAACCTCTTGCCACATTCACCCTGCTCATGTCATTAGAAGACAGCTAAAGTGGATATCCTGTATATTATGTATGGTGTGTATAAACTATGCTTTCATTCAACACTTTTCTCTTTCTCCCTTCCCCATCTCTCCTATCCAACAGCAAAATTAAAAAGCTACTCCAATTAAAAACTTTCAACCCAATGATGGTTGAGTGGGTCCAAAATTAAGACAAAGTAAATCTACCCATCCCTAATGTCTTACATTTAATGAGCACCTTTCATCATAAATTATCACAATACACTGTATATGCAACAGCACTGTAATGTAACTCCTTCTGGAGAGGGAGGACAGCAAACAGCTGGCACATAACACTACATAGCAATAGGAAAGGACAAGAAGGTTGGGCTTTTGAGTAGATGTTACTGTTTTAAGACATAGCCCCATCCAAAAGGAAAAAAACCCACCCAAGTCAAATGACAATGTATTTATGTGGGAAGGCTAATGGTTGAAGGCCAAAGTTGCCCTTATTTGAATGAATGGTACCCAGCATTTTATAGCTGTATCAAGTCTAATATTTAGATAACTGAGGCACTCTTCCAGCTTCTATACAAAGCACATTCTATATAGCACCTGAAGGTCTAAAATTCAGTGTCTGTAGCTTTTCTTCATATAGTTGTGATAATTTTACAGTAGAACCTCACAGTTTCGAACACTTTGGAAATGGAGGTTGTGCGTAACTAAACAAAACATTTTGGTTGTTCTTTCAAAAGTTTACAACTAACCATTGAGTTAATGACAGGTTTCAGAGTAGCAGCCCTGTTAGTCTGTATTCGCAAAAAAAAAAGGAGTACTTGTGGCACCTTAGAAACTAACCAATTTATCTGAGCATAGGATGAAGTGAGCTGTAGCTCACGAAAGCTTATGCTCAAAGCAATTTGTTAGTCTCTAAGGTGCCACAAGTCTTCCTTTTCACTGAATTAATACAGTTTGAAACTTCACTATACAGAAGAAAAATAAAATTCTGCTTTTAACCATCTTCACTTAAATGAAACAAGCACAAAACCAGTTTCAACTTGTTTTAAATTTTCCTTCAATTTTTTTTAATAATTTACATTTAACACACTATTGTTCTGTATTTGCTTTTTTTTTTTTTTTTTTTTTGTCTCTACTGCTGCTGCCTGATTGCATACTTGCAGTTCCAAATGAGGTGTGTGGTTGACTGGGCAGTTCAGAACTCTGAGGTTCTACTGTATGATACCTCCCCAGAAGAATACTCGAACACTTGCTGAATGATGGGAGTATACTGGCAAGTTTGGGTATGCGTTTGGTTTTTTTTACTCTGAACTTTTTAAATTAACTGTGGCAATTAAAACTAATGGCAGAGTCTCAACCATTACCCCCTCAGGTTATATATTTAGTAAATAAATATTTAGTGAAGCTTTGATAACTGCATCTTTATCTTCACTACTTTTTTCTTTAAATCAAACAACGTATTAAACAGCAGTTTAAAAGGAACTAGACAGAGACCAACAATTCTTTCCATAAGCCAGACGACACAGCAGTAAAATTATTTACTTTTGGATAATTGATATCCCTTCTTATATTAAAAGATGACAAAAGTTAGTTACAATAAGGTGACATTTTTATTATTTGTACAATAAAGAGACTTTTTTAATGTTATTCAAAACACTTCTTAAATACTGAAAAAGTTGGTACACCAAAGCCGAAAAATGGCTCTGCTATACACTGCACAGCATTGTTTTAGTCCCTGTATTTTTTTATGTACAGAAAGCATCTGCAAAATGCATCCTAAACACAATATGCACCTTACCAATTAGTGTCAATACATAAAATAAAACTGGAAGGATTCAACTTGCATGTGCAAATTAACTAACAAGATAATTGATTTCACTGAATCAATAGATTTAAAATATAGTTTTAAAGTACCTTTTTGCACATAAAATGAAGCAGCTTTCAAGTTCAGTAAGTCCTTATACTGCAAAAACATTAAATACATTCACAATCTATGTTAATAAAGTAGTAAATATTTCTTCATTCAGCTTTATTTACATCAATACTGTAATTAAACTGAAAAGTACAGTTAGTCATTTGTAATATAGCAATCTTTTTAACACATACAAAAATGACTTTTGTATATAATTTAAGCTCAATATCACAATTATCTCAAAATATTAATTACAATACAGCCATCTCCATAATTAAACATGTCTTTTATAAAATGGTAAAATTTTTAATAAAGTAAGCTGTTGGTTTTGAACTGGATACAGTACTCACAAGTAGAAAACATAAGTCTTTGTTTTGACCATGATTTCAGAGTAAACCCACTTAGGCTAGCAAAGAGGCCTAAAAGGCCCCAATTGATAAAGATCAAGCCTCTTGTGCTGCACTGTTGTGGCTTGTTGGTGATTCTTCATTAAATACTTTACAAGGGAGCAAGTAAATACTATATGCAATGAAATGGCGTGCATTACTATACAGAATATCTGCTTGAATTGTCTGAGGCTATTAATGCTCATAAGGATTGCCAAGGAATTTCTAACAAAACAAGGAACTGTTTAAAATGCTATAAGTATCAAATAATATCTTCTGAGAATTTACTTTTGCAAAGGTGTAATTTCATTGAGGTCTGATCAAAATTCAAACTGCCACTCTGAGGAAAAGGAGCTCTGGTTACATGCCTGGCCTCTGGGTGTCACTGTTGTGCTGCACACATATGGCTGTAAGGCCATTTATTAAGCATACCAAAACTGGAGTCATAAAAAGACCAACTCAATTAATATCCAATCCAAAGTACTGGCCTGAAAGTTGCATCATTGTTTTTATGTTTAGCTCATATTTACAGTACAGTGAAATAAACAAATCTGGTTAACAAGAAAGCAAAATGTATAACTTTATTTGAAATTCCACTTATTTGAAATCTAAAATTGACTGGATGACTATTTTATTTTAACACTTACATTTGGAAGTTTAAAATATAAAAAGCCCAGACACAGAAAATGAAAAGCTAGTAAGTACATCTCACTCTTGGATGGCCAATTCAAAGCCCACTGTTGGCGACTGCCAGTCTTCATAACAGGACACAAAATTACAAACGGGTGGTTATATTAATGTTTACTTTAGTTCCAGTTGGGTTTGCATGGTAACTTCTGAGCATGAGGTGAATGGAGGCTGTACCCAGTACATTCACAAGCTAACTTTACGGAAGTTGACAGTACCCTCTTCTAGTTAGGAAGATGGGTGGCACATATTGCAAAGCTAATTGAGCTAATGGATATGACCCTAAACTCCCACTGACTTCCCTGGGATTTGGGACATGTAGCCTGTGGCATAATCAGGTCCTATGCTTCTTTTGAATGTTCACTTGTACAGGATAGGAAGAGAAACTATGGTTTGTGAAAATAAACTCAATCATCACTTTTTCTTTACTAATGCACAAAATACACATCTGACCACATAAGCTGAATAACAGGGATTGGCTAGAGTTACAAGCAGGAGCAAGATGTAATGTGAGTAGTACATAGTAATATCAGCAGCAAGCAGATTTCCTAAACATATTACGTTCAATCCTTTTAACAGTTTATTATGGTCAGATGCTTTTGAACTGTCAAGAATTACTGATACTCGGGGAAGTGCTCATAGAATGAGTTTGTAGCTGTAAAAATAACCAAATGAGCTAAAGCAATTTTTTGCAAGTTTCTTAATTTTCAGAAAACCTAGTAACATCTGCCTGTGCTTTTTCAGCCTGGGAAATTCAACGAACAGCTGGCAGATTTCTATTTTACATGTCAGTAGTGAACTTCCTTAAAATTGTCCCTGTGTATAAACAGAGTAGAGACACTGTCAAGAAGCCACCTTAGTTATAGTTTGAGTAGCCTCTCAGTAGATCAGGCTGTAATATAATTGCACAAAGGAGAGGGATTGTGATAAATAAAGGGAGAGATATATTTTTACAAATCTGGCTTGTTAGAAAATACATTTCAGTGAATGAAAATATACTTGAAAGGTTAAATCTTTAATTACAATAAAACACAAAAACAGAATGGGTAAAGAATTGTTATTGAGACTGGAGACTTCTTTAGGAAATGCGTTGAGTCTCCTATGGTCTTGTCTCTTTAGATATTTCTCCTATTCTGAGAATGACCTGTGGCCAGAGGTTGTTGGCCAGTACTCAGTTCCAGCTGTGGCATCAACTAGTTGGATGCAACTGGGGAAAGAAGAGCTTTAGGCTCAGAACAAGCTTAAGAGAAACTAACCCAAACCCCAAAAATCTGGATAGGGGGTTCTGTATAAAACTGGAAACACAAAAGTGGGTTGTGCCCTTTCTTGAACCAATTTTATATGACTATCTGTAAATATGGTAGATTGGGGAGTTACTGTTGCATTGGCTAAATACTGTACAGGTTTGGCTGAGATACAGTTGATACTTTTGTTATACATTTTCATAGTGGTGTTTGGGAGTTGAAACCACAATAACTTCTAGTTTCTGTACAGTGACATGCCATGTGAACTGTGATAGTAACCATTTTGTGTTCCTTAACAGCTGCTGTAAAACCAGAACAAGGGAATTGTAGCAATGCCCTGCACTTTTAATCTAACCTTTACTTGAGGAGCACTAGATGAGCTTTGTTGTGCAGAAACCTAAAAAGCAGTGTCACAGTTTTAGGGCTAGCAGAAGTGTTACCATGGGAACAAAAAATTTAGCACAGCTGAAAGCCCACAGGAAGCTGGGAATTGAAAAGGGTAGAAGTTCCAAAGGCAATTTGGAGTTTCTGGTTTTATTTCTGAAATACCATGTTTCAGTCATTGTCTTTAGTAGCTAAAAGAAATAATTCCGGAGCTTTAGCTATTGTGTACTTGATATGAAAGCACATGGTGTAGTGTGTACTATCTAATAGCTGGGAGTCAGGAAGCTAGATGCAATTTTGAGATCACAGCTGCCTGCCTCAGAACTCATTGACTAAACATGAAAATAACCACGTCATATATATGCTATTCATCCGCTGCCAGTACCTGCCCTAGAATCTCAAATTTAACAAGATAGCTGAACCAAGGTATACGTATAATATGTTACTTCCTAACTGCATCTGCTGAATCTCTCCAGAAAAGACAAAAGGTGTGTTACATCAAAACAAGAATACCACATCCTAATTAGCCACAACGAAGACTTCCTTCATTGCTCAAAATATAAGCTTCCCCTCTGCCAATTTGTATATAAATACAACAAAATACAAAGAGAATCATGCTTGCTTTTTGCGGGGGGTGAGGAAGACACATCTTGAAGCTTAACTACTGTCTGAATGAAAAGCCTGAACTCCTGCTCACTTATCAGGAAAAGCTCTTTTACTTAGCCAAGCTTCCGTTGTCTCCAAAATCTGCAGTATAAGGCTTAAATGTGATAGAGGTTCCACTGGAATGTCTAGTTTTACTCCCAACAAAGACTTCATTAATTAAGGGGGAAGTTAAAGTCTCCAAATGCAGATCTAGACCTAGCCAACTATACAGTGGACAAGAAAGAGCTAGAGAAGAGGTAGGGAGAACAAAAAAGCTACTTGTATATTGTGATACAGGAGGGCCAAAGAGCAGTGGGAGAGTGCTAGATAGATAAGCTCAAGGCTAATTAAGGCGTGGTTCCCTATAGACTAGGGAAGGTGGCTGCAGGTTAATTGGAGCACCTGCAGTCAATTAAGGCCCTGTTAGGAACCTAATAAAACCCCCTGCATCAGGCAGCCAGAAGAGGAGGACCCACTCACTGAGATGTGTTGTGAGATTTGGAAGATCTGAGAACTGGAGTAAGGGAGACCCTGCCCAGCAGGCCAGGGAGACTCCCTTCCCCCTGAGCATCTAAGGACCGAGGGTAAGAAACCCACAGGGGTTGAGAGGGGCTGGGACTCAGAGCGAGGAAAAAACTCAGACCCCTCCCCTGCCTCCCTCCTCTACTGCCTTCCTGGGCTAGTAGTGGGAGCCTTGGCACCTAAGAGCAGAGGCAAAGGGTGGCATCTTAGCTCCCTGCCAAGAAAAGCACAGGACCCACCAAACTAAAATCAGCCATCTTGCCACAATATCTTGTAACACTCAGGCTTACAAACCACATTGGCATAATCAGTGTATGTAATAAAAAGAGGACCTCAGAAATCCATCAGAGCAAAATGTGGCACAAACAACACACTAAAGATCACTTGGCTTTTGTTATATTACATCTTTCTTTGTTATGTTGTCTGTGTAGTTTGTAGGCTCCATAGGGTAGAACCCTTGTCAACCCACTTGTCTCTGTTTAAAAAAAAAAAAGCCTACAATTAATTAATTAATAGTTAATTAATTTTGCAACATGCTTCAGGAGTCTGTCTTCTAGTTTTGCTTAGGGGACGGATGGTTGGCTGCATCCCATTCTGTAGTAGGTAATGTTACAACGTGACTCAAAACTAACTTTTTATTTACTCAGTTTTCTTGCCAGAAGCAGAAGTCAAGGGAAATATTTGAGCTATGCAAATAAATTACAATGAAATTCCCACAGAATGACTAGAATGTATTACATTTAGTGTGTTTACACTGAGTGAATTTCTTCACATAAAGAATGGATGTGAGCATCTCTTGACTGTTTTATTATGAAAGGGATAGCTGATGATGCTGAGAATTTGAATAATGGCCTCTGCAATTCTGCAGCTGTTACACTGTTAAAGATGCTGCATTCCTGCACCACGGGCTGAAACAAATAACTGAATAAATAATTTACCTTGAATAACTAATTTGAATGTATTTGCTGAATATCTTCAAATAGAGGAATTTGACATCTCCTCTGTACTCTTAGCTGAAAGAATAACTAAAGTCAAACTATTTGGGTGTAAATATTTAAAATTAGCGCGGTGTGGATCAGTTATAGTCAGATAAGTTACATGGTATTTCTGCCTCCTGAATAATTTCTTGTACAAAATGAACATTTGTTTTCTGTGAGAACTTACATGTGCAGGTTTGGAATAAACTTTCCAGTTTTGCAGTGAAAAATGTAATCATTCATGTTTGTGGAAAGCAAACAATAAAGGGGATGTGAACAGTCACCATTTTAAAACCAGGAAATGTGTAAATACAAACAAAAGCCCTAACCCTGCATTCCCATGCACCCAAAGTCCCCAATTCCTTCAGAACCACAATTTGTCATTGTGATGAAGCTGACTGACCAAATCTCCAACCATACTGTCACATAGCAACAGCTGCAAAATACCAGCTGAAAATAAATGAAATCAAAATAAGACAATTCAAAACATTCATCAGGGAACGAGCCCCACCTCAAATATCTAATGAGCAACAGAAGACCATATAGTAGACAGGACATTACATAAACTGACAAAAAAAAAAGGCAGTTTAATTATATTTTTCAATTAAACTAAAACTAGTCAATATGTAAATTAATCAGAGGGGAGAAGGAAAACTTTAGTTAGTGTAAGTGTAACCCACACACTTCCTGGGGTGATGTTCTGTCCCATCTGGTGGCACTAAGACCACCTAAAGAGAGAGAGAGATTGAGTCTGCTCTACAGCCTTAGCTAAGAGGAGTTGACTTTTAGCTCATGCTTTAAGCTCCAGAAGTCCCCAGTTCGATCCTGCCTGTCAACAACCGGGGTCTGTTGGTATTACATAGGCAATAGAGAAACACCTCAAATTAACTAAAATGTTCTTGACAGTGACCTTTAAAATCTACAATAGCCACAATTCAGGTGATTTGTGTTTTTTAAAAATGTTCAAGTTTAGTAAAACCAATACTCAATTTATTTCCTTCAAAAACTCTCATAAGCGGCTCATTCCTGCTGCGATTAGCAGTCACAATTATTTTACCATTGACTTCAATAGAAACAGGATTGACCCAATATATGTAGACTTATCCATGGCACAGAAATTGATTTTCCATGCTGTCAGCTGGAGGAATTACTAAAATTTCGATTACTGAACTAACACCAATGTACTGTAGCTTTGTGCTGTGTCTATTCCTGTCCCCTTAGCACAGTTCTAAGATTTACCTACTGTTATTTATTTTGCACACCTCTGAGAGAAAATATTTTAAATGTCATCTAGTCTTACTAGCGATGTATTGTACCTGACTCTGAGTAGTCCCACTGATTTCAATAGGACTGCTGCCCACAAAGGGCTAGATTTGGCCATGCTTACTCGGCGGTATTCTAGTCTGGCTCAGAATAAGATGGTGGGAGTATTGGGATCAAAATTTACTGAAAAGGTTCTATAATTTTAAATAAATTAAAACATTCACAAAAATAAAGCGTTAGGTTTTCCTGCCACCCACCACTCACTGCTTTTATTTGAGGAACATCACTATCTAAAATTATCTTGTCTGTTTCACAAGCTTACAGGTAATCAGCTAAAAGGATCAGACAAAAGCAATTAATTTTTGCCTAGACTATTATGTGTAGGTCCCAGGCTTGAAAGTATAATTTATGAAGTATTTCACGCTGTATTGCAATAATTCAGCTAATTAGTATGGACTCAGCACTAAATACTGTACTTGTACAGTTACTTCTATAAGGCATATATATTTGCATTGAAAAAATCAACATACTAAAGTTCAAATTTAATATTTACTTTCTTAGTGGTTTCTATGAAAATATTTTTTCTCTATAATCTTTTAGTATACCACTGGTGATAGAAATATTTTATGGGAATTACAGCTCAATATATGTTTTTCTTTATAAAGATATATACAACTTTGAGGCAGTATTTTTGATGGACAGCAGAATTCATAAAGAGCTTTTGTGTGCTTCTGTGTTCTGAAGTTATATGAAATCCACTTTGAGAAGTAACTTGATTAAAAAAGAAACTGCACCAATGCACAGCCAGAGGCTGACAATTAAAACTAATACATAACCACATGAACATCATATTTATATAGTTAACATTTTTCAAGAGGCGCAGTACTAACATATAGTATTATACATTTGGCACTAATGTTTGCCATTGATCCAGCAATTGGCAAAATTTGTTTCCTACGTATAAATTTCTGTTTGAACATTAGATCTGGCTAGACATATGTTTACTATTTATAAAAAATACTTAGACAGTAAGCTCACGTTGAATAACTAGGTCTACTGTATTCTGGAAACTCTTCAGTAGTAATACAGCTTTCTCATGTTCCATATGTACAAAACTGTGTCCATTTGCCTGTAACACACAAATGAAAAACAGGAAACAATCAAATGAAGTTATGTTTAGCACTTTTTCATTTTTTGGAGGAGAGCTGAAAATTAAAGTAAAAGAAACTTGATGGTTCAAAAATTAAAAAGAACATTGATTACTTTTGTTTGGTGGAAATGTGATTCCATACCTTGAAGAGAATAACAATAATGTTCTAATTAAATAATAATAGTGCAACAATTCACTTCTTATAACTTTTTAAAAAATCCTGCTATAACAGTATCTTACACAACAGTAGAGCTATAAAATTAGAGATTTAACTGGACCATCAAAGGTATAGATTTAATCTTGGGATACATAAAGTAGATGTTACCCCAGCAAGCATAGTTTGACAAAGCGTAAGAAGTTAGTTTCAGAGGTCTCCAAGCAAGCAGAAGGTGTAGCCAAGTATGTACGTGTTATGGTACCATCGTGTAGCAGTGATAGAAGGGACAGAACACAGCAAACACTCAGGGAAGGACTCTATATGGACAAAGTGGATAGGTCAGTTGAATAAAGAGTGAGCTATCTGCAGTGATAGCCAGATGGTGAAGTTACTGTGTGGAACTCCTAAATGAAGCTATTGGGAGTTCTGCATGCAGAGGGGCTGCAGGCTGAGTCCTTTAGTCAGGAAGCATGCCCTCTGAATCTATCAATAATTTTAGCAATTTATAGGGTGTTAATCCCTGTAGTTTCCAAATGAAAATTCCAAGGAAGTTAATTCTGTCTAATGCATCATTAACTACTAACAGAAAAGTTCACAATGACGGGGAAAATGACAGATGGGTAACTATGTATTTGGAGGATAGGTAACTGCTGAGCAAGTTGCTTACATCTAGTTCTATCTAATCTCTACTTTGCCTGTTGTAGTATCTAGACACCATAGCAGACAGACCTGTTACTCCCACCTCAGAAGCACAAAGATCCAGCTCTTGAGTTGAGTCTAGGCATATCACCATAGGGGCAGACAACACCAGTTTGTGGACAAGCTACTGAAGGTAAATGTGCCAAAGCATAAGACTACTGATTACATGACATAAGCATTTCCAGGTATATGATCGCTCCACATACTCCTACAGACAACAGTCACAACGTGGCCCCAACACAACACAGTCACATATACTCCCTTGTATGCAGGACCTTGCCAACTTGCAACAACAGTCCAGAGGAATTTTTTTTTTAATTTAGTCCTGCATTCTTTCACATGACTAACATGCCACAGTACTCTCTTGCTGCAAGTTCTTGGGGCCACAGAATTTTTGCCTCTTTTCAGGCTACACCTGTTGATGTTTTCATGTTATGTCCAGAAGATGTGTAATTGTAGATTATTTCAATTTGTGTTATTTTTTCAAGTACTTTATCCGCTTCTGACTGCTGGTATGCTGTAGCTCACATGTTCTTTAGGAGAATGTCTTCACTGCACTTTTTCCTGTATGCCAGTGTTTTAATCATATCTTCTGTTGCATCCAAGAAATTACACACAAAAAATTATATGTATGTTGTATTAGACCACATTCTGTTCTCATTTACATTAGGAAAAATCAGGAGTAACTGCACTGAATTCAGGCCCACCACAGAAAGCTGAATGGTAGATGTGATAGGGGTCTGGTATTTGAAAGTATGAATAGATTACTTATAAAAACATGAGGATTTCATTAAGTTTTTAAAAATAATAGGTGATGACTATGAATCCCAAGAAAAAAAATGCTGTATTTCTACAGAATTGGTGTGAACTAGATGGGCCAAATTCTGCTTTTGGTTACATCAGTCTAAGTCAGGATTAACGTCCCTAAATTCCAAATGATGATGTCTCTCACACATGCAACTCTCTTCACAAACACTGCATAAAGTTGTCATCAGTAGTGGCAATTTTACTAAGTCACTAAATTTGAATATCTAGGGGCAAGAAACAGGACCTCTTGATGGAAGATCTTCCACTCTTGGTCTATGCAAGTCCAAGGTACAAAGGCTCATCTGTTTTCATGGGCTTTTGTCAAAGATAGGAGAGGTGACTGAAGAGGCAGGTTCCAAGCGGTTTGGGCTGGAAATACATTTTGTTCTGATATTTGTTGTTCATTGTTTTTTCATTTTTGTAAAGAGGTTTGAATTTTGTTGGAGAAGTATATTTCATAAATTAAAAATAAAGAAATGATAATATCTGAGCGGATCTGCAATTTCTGAAGAAGCTACATGTGGGTCCAGATCCTGTTCTACTTGAACACATCCATTGTCTTGAAAAAGCAAAGGATCAGGCCCCTATGTGTGGTGAATAAATGAAAGAGTCCATTTTATTCTGTTCTTCATGAACCATGAAGAATCTCTCATTTGAAAGGCAACCGCACAGTTGAAATCTTCATCAACACACTAATGCGTAATGGATGCAAAGGATTCAGGATGCAAACTCCTCATGGTGGGGAAACAGAAGGTAGGGAAAGTGCCATGTAGTAACAGCAAAGTAGTCACAACAGTTATGTACATGTACTTTAAAGGTATAAGTAAAGAAGTAACAGGCAGAACCATGCTGAAAAGAAAGACAACACTACAGTAAAGAGCAACTCCTTTTATTAATTTTTGTTTTGCTTCATACAGTAATATAATTTGGCACTGAGAAACAGTACAAATATCAGGCAGAAAAAGGTTTCAAAGGCATTCATTTGTGTTCCAAAAAGTAAACCCCCAAAAGAATACTCTGGCATTCAGGGCTGTGTTTGGGGCCTCCTTGGCCCCTAGCGTTATACACAGCGACCTCATTAGCTGATCTTTGTTACAGCACAGTCACACAGCTTCCTGCAATCTGTTCTACTCACTTAGAATAAGCCAAAGAACAGTGCACTCCTAGCCACAAGATGCTGGATTCTGCAAGTGAGGTTTGCATAGGACCAGCCCTAGTCACTGGAGAAACCCTCTTTAGAGAGGGAGTGTTTCCCAGGGTGCCAGTATACCCCACATTACACTTCCAGAGCAGCTGAAACAGGCCACAACTGGAAAGAAAATTCTCTGTTAGGTAACATATGGATAAATGACAATCAGGAATCCTCTATTTCTTTCAGCCTATGTGCTGTATCACCCCCACACTCTGTAACACATGCTATTAAATCCATGTATATCTAGGATTTATGGGCCTTGCTCTCCATTGCCTTGTACCCTGCATAGTCATTTAGATCTAATTCCTAGACAAACAATTATGTTAAGATGGAGGCAAGGTTGAGAGTACATATCAATAATTTACTGTGAAAATATATTACAGGGATGTTTTAATTATCTCCCCCCCCAACCAATAAAATAAAAAAACAAGAATTACAAATCCAGGAAATTCAGAGTTACGATTAAAGTTAAAATGGATCCAAACATATTAAAGTATAGAATTGTACAGTGAGGACCACCCAAACAACCTTAACTCTGTCCTACAGTGATGACCATGCAATTAAGATTAATGCATTTTAGTGTCTATAGCCCAGATGAAATTAAAGAGATGGTAAATGACAAAGTAATTTTTTTTCTCCCCCACCCATGATGTTACTGCAGTGTTACTTTGACTGAGAACAATGAGATATGGCAACCATTTTGAAAGAGGGTAATTCTTCACTGAGGAAGAGTATTATATTACAGCTTCTACTGAATGACAAGCTTTCAGTTATCAAAAAAATAAAATAAAATAAAAATCAGGAATAAATGATGTAATCCCAACAGGTTTTTTCCAAATGTAGCCTAGGCATTAAAGGTCAGTGAGTTTACTTCAATGGGTAGTTTACAGAGTTGTGTTATTTTGTTACCAATATCATTCAAGACCCCAAAAAATAATCTTACATCCATGAAAATGGCACTTCCATAAAGTTAGTGCAAAATGGGTGTAAAATGTTAACCAAATGTCAGACAAGAATTCTGATTTGATAGTTTTACATGCATTTTGCCTAGCAGTAACTGACTACACAAGGAAATAGGCAGTGGGAATCAGATCCAGTAACGCTATTTTATTCTAAATTCTTTGACAACTGTCAGTTCTGTTTCTAAGGGAGACCTCCTCTTTTATCTGCTACAGAGCAACCTTTGAGCTTCAGAATGCCCAATGTAAAGTCAAATGAAGGCAACTGCATAAGCAGACTAGAAATTCCTCTACACCTGAACTGCATAACAGGCTTGGAGACTCAGTGCACCACAAAAGGAAACAAAAAGCATATAAAAATCAGCCAAGGAATTGAAGACTCATCTCCACTTATGCTCCTGCTACAGTTTTCCTTTCTTACCATCATTTCTGATTCAGATGCTTGTTGCTGCTTCAGAAGGTACAGCAAAATCTGTCAGTCTTATCTGAAGGAAGACATTTCATTCTGAGTCACATTCCTTACAGCAGTTAAGAAGGAGATATTTTTAACCTGGAGGCCATGACTGGAAGCCAAGAGACCATGAACACTCACAAGCTTCATATGTAGGACATGAAGCACTGTTGCTCTGAATGGATATTTTCAGTTGCTCCCAGTCAGGACTCCAGAGAAAATGGAAAAGACACACTTCATGTTGCTGTTGCTCTGGAGATTTTTCTGACCTAGTCATGTTGAAAATTAATAGGGAGCTATTGTACTGAGAAATTAAATACGATCCATTCCAAACTCCCTATAGCTGAATGGCCTTGAAAAAGAAGGGACATTTCTGAGGAATTAGCAGTTCTTCACCTGCAAAGCATGTGGTTTCCTGGTATCTTTAGCCCTGGCCCAAAAATCTTTCCCTGAAACATTTGTAACGTGATTTACTCAGTGGGAACTTCTGTAGATTGGGTCTGTATATTTGCCATTATTTCCGCACCATTCCTAAAAAATTCAATGTTGAAGGGTAGGCTTTTTGAGGAGAAATGTTCCCCATTCATGGGCCATGTCACATAGCATGCATGTTATTGCAAAGACCCAAAATATTTTACATGGGGTGAGCTAAACAGCTTCCTCAATACACACACAAAAATCTCACTTTTGATACCTCAGACATTCTAAACATGC